TAATTTGTTACAAATGTTATTTAGATAGTTGTGATAAAATATATAGATATGTAATAGGCAATTTATTAATAATGCATCATTATTATCAATTGATTTTAAAATTTCTTTTAATTGTGATGATTTGTTTTTAGCTAATGTAGTTATATAAAATATTTGTAACAGACCAAATGCATTTATTATTGTATTAACTTGTAGTTGTTTTTTTTAAAAAAAAGGAAAGGTGGTTTTAAGGTTTGAAAAGTGTATAATTGTTATCAATTTATTTAAAATGTTTCTGTTATTATAAGAACTTCTACTAATTAAATTTGCTCTTGTAGAATGATGCTCTCTATTAGCATTATGAGTTAATAATATGCAATGTTGGTTTTGGAAAAATTTTTTTTTTAAGTTTAGATACAACCAATAAGACCAATACCAATATAAGCAGAATTGAGAATTAGAACATAACATTCTTAATTTTATATATTTTTTATAACTTTTTACTAAAGATTGAAAGTCTAAGAGTTGTTTATATTTTTATAATAACCTTTATCATTAGAAAATAGGTCAGAAAATATTAATGCTTCTAAATCTAGATTATTAAATAAGATAAAAACGTTAGTATTATTTATTAATTCAGCTATTAATTAATTATAATGTGAGTTATCATTATAAATTTCTAGTAGAAATAAATTATTGAAGACAACTAAGTCAGAAGGACATGAGATTTCATCAAGAAGATTATTATGATATATATTGGAGAATAATTCTTGAATATTAATTGATTGCCTTGCTAGTAGTAATAGAACAGATGTCAGGATTTCTGAAAATATGTATGTAATATTGATATTTGATGCATATTTTTCAATAAGGTTATTATTTTATTTAAGCCAATTGAAGACAGAAATTAAAGTTTCATGAAACCAACTTAGAGGTTCATTTGAGTTTAGATAGGCTTTAGTAGTTCCAGAATAAACATCTAATATGCAATAGTTATATGAGATATTTATTAATTCTTTTAGATGATGATAATGGATATAGTAATTAGTACTAACAGTATGCCCTAATGAGCAACTCATATGTACAGAAAAAAGGTATCTTCTGTGAAACATTGAAACAGTTTGAATCTTAATAGAAACATTTGCTAATATTGAAGGATAATGGCAGGTACTTATGTTTTTGCATTTATTACAAATAGCTACTTGTGTAATATTTTAATTATTTTGATATATATATACAAAGATATTAGAAAAGGCAAGTAATAAGGTGTATTGTTCATTATTATTATAAGGTAGCTATTTTACAGAGGATTTCATCATAAGCATTGAGCAATAGGCATAAAAAATATTGAAATAGTCATATAATATTTTTGATTAAAATTCATTTAATAAACACAAAAGACTTGCTTGTAAGGTAAAAGAGTTGTAATTATTTTGAAGTAAGAAGTTTAATTCAATTAGTGTTACTGTATCATTAGAGGTTAGTGCATTTATTAAGTTTTGATTAATTTTATTTCTTTGGATGTAGGGTTCAAAAAGTATATTGATTTGAAAATCTGTATTATTTTTTGAATTATGTGATTTAGGGGCCTGCAAATTGCCTATTTTTGAGGCCTGGCCTGGCTCGTAATTAGGGATAAAAATTTTTTTTAGGCCTGGCCCAGCCCACATTTAGGGTTACTATTTTTTTGCCAGCCCAGCCTGGCCCACATATATTAAATTTTTTATTTAGTTCAGCCTGGCCTGCAAAAATTTCTTATATAATTTTACAAATTTTTAGGCCTACACTGGCCTGCAATTATAAAGTTTTGCAAATTTTTCAGCCCGGCCTGGCTCGCAATTATAAAATTTTGCTTCAGGTCTGGCCAGGCTGCAGGACTCAATGCAGGTCTCTAACATGATTCTTCTGTAAAGGAGGTAAGAAAAAAAAACCAGTTTATTTTTTTATTAGACATAATTGGTTAAAAAGATAAAATAAGAAAGAATTTTATAATATAATGTTTTATTAAATTTAATTTATTTTTTTGTAATGATGATTTATTATATATATAATAATATTATTATAAGAAAGAATTTTAATATTTGAATAAATTTATAAATTAATATTGTTTAATTTTTTTAAAGATATTTATTTGAGAAGCCAAGTAATTTCTAATTTTAAATTTTGTATTTGTTATTTTGTTGAATTAAGTTCTAAAAAAAATATTATTAAAGTCAAGAAAGGGTTTTTATATATTTGATTTTAAAAATTTGATCAATAATATAATAAATGATTTAGTTTTGTAAAATGTATATTTAATAGTCTTTTTAAAATTACATTTATTTAAAGTTATTCTAAATAGCTTTTTTTTTATAAACAATACCAAATCTTTTAATAAAACTAATGCTATGCGTCTTTGAATCAATAAATTCTTAAATGCTTAATAATAGACAATATTATATAGATTTAAAAATTAAGTAATAAAATTTTTTAATGGGTTTGAAAAATCAATAAATTCTTTTTTATTATTCAGTTAAACACTTTCAATAGTTTACATATGATAATAAGATAGAATTCATATTTTTTTAATGATAATAATTTCTTTTATATATAATAGAACTGTCTGTTTTTAATTATTAAATTAATTTTTTTTTTTTTTTTTTTTTTTGCTTTCGCTAAGGCCGTAGTTATTGGTGGCTATTGCCTTTATTGTATTTTTAATTATGATTATATAACTTGTACAAGGTGAGTATACAACTAGCCATACGTACAACTTTTGGTTGTCTAATTTAAGTAGTCTGTCTGCATAGCAGGTTCTACACTGGTTGCCATACCTGCAATCTACTAGGAGATTACCTATTTTAAACACTCTGATCCCTATACTTACACCGACAAATAGCACACAAGCTCCTGTACACCTAAGTGCCGTCTAACCTAACCATGACCTTCCTGTCTGTACATCCATCAAGCCGTTACATATTTCAGAGTACGTCATCTGACTGTAAGGCTTCAGGAGGCCCCCCTGTTAACTAACTATCCACGTTTAATATCTTGTTAACAGGGCTTGCCCTTGCAGAGTTCACCTAGACCTCAGCACTGACTTCATAGCATATTCCTAGTACTTTAGTATACCCCTGTTTCCGACCTCAGACTCCCAATCCAGATAGCTCAGTAGGACTGTGACCTGCCTCTGGTACTCCAGAGTCTGCCCCCCAAGGTTCTTTTCCTCCGGTTTGAGTCTTCTGGCAGCCTGGTTGGTGGTACCCCTTACCCAAAGTTCTTGCCCGCCCGATTCCTTCTACATTAGTATCTATTTTCTAGGTTTAGCTTTTACAGTAATACTGTTAAAGCTCCATGTTACCTCTCTAATCGGGTCTTCCCAAGTGGGCTTCCGGTTATCCTAGTTCACAGATTTACATGGCCACAGATGCCCCATGACCTGCCAGTTATCTGGTGCGACTGTGTTACAGATACTGATCTCAACTGATCGATAAATAGCCATCACTGTAATATCAGTTTCAAGGACTTATCTTGTGTTTGCACTGCCCAATGCCAGTTTGCATTCCTCTGTGTAACTTCAACATTGCACAGATGCCCATATACACCGATGTAACATAGGTAGTTTTCCAAATTTTTGCCATCAGTAGGTTTTGAACTCCCAACCTACTACTTGGAGGATTGACAACTTATTCACTTCACTAAGTTATCACACCCTATTAAATTAATATTATTTTAATATGTATAAGGTTTTTTTATGCATACATGATTTGTGATTTGATTAAGAAATGTACAATACTAAAATAAGTCAGGTTTTGATCTGTTAATTTGGTAGTTATTTAGGAGATGTGACTATATAGCTGTATAAGAAATAAAGTTAAAGACAATTATATACATATTAACTTAAAAATGAAGTTTTTAGATAAAGACCTGTTTATTAAAATAAATTTTAAAAAGTTGTTATTTAAAAATTGTAATTTTTTAAATTACAGTTTTTACAATTTTAATTTTTTAGTATAATGTCTATTTATATACACTATTTTGATTATCTGATCAAGAACATTAATATTTTTAATTATTTTTGGTTCTGCAGGTTAGTAAAGTTCAAAAATTGCATAAGCTTTAGCCAATTATATTTTAATAAATTCAAATTTGTAAATATAATAGAACAGAAAGAACTGTCATATCATTTGTAAATCTGTTACACAATTTATAAAAAACTTTTTTGTATGGTTTTAATACTTTTTTAAAAAGCTCACATTACTTATTCTACTTTGAAATATGATGTAGTATTTTGTAAACTTGAAGGCTTCATGTAATAGTTTAATAATAACAGTTTAATAATAACAATTTAATTTTAGTAAATTATACAGCTTTTATATAATAATTTACTTTGCAAAGGTATGTATAACTAAGTAAATTAAGAAATATTGAACTACAATTTTAGATGTTGAGAATAAAACAAAAAAAAAGAGAAAGCAACAATCTAATAAAGGTAATGTGAGTTTGAGAATTAATCTATAATATCTTTTTCTTATATGTTTATAAAAAAAATATTTAAAAGCTTAAAAATTTAATAATATAAACTATCTTTTTTTTTATTTTTATACAATTTTTAATACAGTATAGGATAATTGTAAAAAATAATATAAAAAGTATCTAAGATAAGATTGTGTAAAACTTTAATCTTCTATTAAAATAACTGTTATATAATTAGAGATCATATAAGATATCCAGAAGATTATATATATGAAAGTCTTTATAAATTATATACATGAAAGTTTTTATAGATAATAATATTAGAAGTTAGTTTATTATTAGTTAAATAAATAAATAGAACAATAATATATTTACTTATTTAGAAAAAAAATATATTGTATATATTTTGAAGTTAAATTTATATATTTTAGCTTTGATTTTATTTTTTGATATTTTTTGTATTTTTTTAGTTGTAATTTGATTGGCTAAATAATATATAACAATATATAAACATTATATAACATTAGATGTTTTTTTTTATTATATATATTTTTTTATTTTCAAAAATGCTTAATATTCATTGCTATATGAAAGTTATAGTAAAAATGGTTGTTGTATATTATATTTTTTAATTGCATACTGCTTGTTAAATTTGTAGATGATATAAATTTGATTTGGTTATGAAAAAGAAAAGAAAAGAAAGAATTAGATTTGTAGATTAATAAAAAAATCTATCAAGAGTTAGTTAGATGGTCATTATTTATAATATTATTTAAGACCTAGTTCCAGTATTTCTAATTTGACCTACAGTTTGTAAAAAATTATTATTTAAAGATTTGTTAGTTTGAGGTTTAGAGTTATTATTTTAAGGTTCAGTTTTTTGTGTTTTTAAAAAAGAAGTTGATAAGTTTGTTTGTTGTCTTTTTTTAAAGGATGTATTTAATTTGGCATATCTTTCTTCAATGCTTTCAAGATAGTTATTAAAATCATTTTGAGCTTTTGCATTTCTTTTGTTTGAGTTATCAGAAGTTTGTTTATTACTGGCATAGTTCTATTTAATATCTAAGGCTATAATATGAAGAATTTTTTTTGTGCTAATTTTTAAATTTCCAATAACTAAAAGAATAGTTTTTTTAATAAAAATTGATGTCATTTTTTTTTCAGTATAAAGAATGAAGATTAATTTTTCTTTTTACTTAAACAAGATAGATTTTTTATTTTATATATAAAACTTTGTATTTTTATTTATTTTATCAAATAATAATATAAAACAATAATGATATGAATAATTTAAATAAACAAGCTTTGCAATTTGTAATTTAATAACAATAAACTGGTTTCTTGATTATTATTTTTTTTCTTATTCTTTTTTTGATTTTTTGAACTTAATATGTTTTTTTTTTAAATTTATTTAAAGGGTATAAAAAGATAATTGATCATTTGAATATGTGAAAAATAATTTAATAATTAGATCTTAATCTAGTATAATTATTTTCTTGTTTTTTTTCTGTTTAGAATATTGAAATCTTATGATATCTTATTATAGATATTGAGGTTTTATTATCTTTTTATAGTCAATAAGAAGTCAGTACATGAGTATATCATTATATGCTAATTTAATAAAATATTGTAATTTGATAGCTTTGAATTAAAGGTAGAGTTTGAAACAAAATTTATTTTTTTCTTATTTTTTCTTATATTAAATTTGATTAAAACTAAATTTAATATAAGAAAAATAAATTCAGTTCTAAATACTAATTAGAAATACTGTATAATATTTGTAATTTGAATTTTAAATATTATTATAAAAGATGTACTGCTCAGATGATCTATAGAATTAAAACAATTGAATATATTTTTTTTAAAAAAATAAAACTTTACATTAAGAATATAGGCATGATTGTAAAAAATTTTTCTTTTTTATAATGTTGAAAATAGGTTTAAGATGAAATTTTAAGATATATGCAGTTTTTAATTTAAAATCTTGTATATCTTTAATATGATATTATTTATTATATAAATTATATTCATATAATTAAAATTTTATTATATACAAAAATATTAAGATTTATCAGTCAATCAATTAAAAATAAATTTTATGAATGTCAAAAAACTTAATTTGAAGTAATTCAGATTTATAGATTTTGCATACCAACTTCATACAAACAAATAGTCAAATTCATACAAACAGACAATCAAATTTATACAAACAGATAGTCAAATTTGTACAAATTGACAGTCAAATTTGTATATAATACTTTTAATTAAATTACAATATCTCATGACCTAGTAATTTAAATTATATAAATTTAGTACTATTTGATTTGTCAAAATTAGATAAATTAAATAGTATCAAATTTATATAATTTAAGTTACTAGATCACAAGATATTGCAATTTAATTAAAAATGTTATATATAAATTTGATTGTCCTCATTATTAATATTTGAAAAAAATGAATTTGACTGTCAATTTGTATGAATTTAACTGTCTGTTTGTATAAATTTGACTGTCTATTTGTACCAATTTGACTGCCTGTTTGTACAAAGTTGATATACAAAATCTATAATTGTAATTATTTTAAAATTTAAAATCAATTTAATTAATAGATTAAAAATCTTAGATTAAGGTAATTCAAGTTTAATTTAAAATTTGAATTTTATTTTATATTAAAATTATAACATGAGACAATTCAGGATTAAATTTGATATATATACAATCACAAAGTTAGATATCTTAATTTGTAATTTTAAAAATATTTATTCAAATATTTAACTTAATGTAATTTTTCTTTTGAAGTTTTAAATAGGTTTAGAAATATTTAAAAATAAGATACATATTTGCATTCCAGTTTTTAAGAATATTTTTAAATAATCAAATTTATATAATTGTATTTAAAATAAATTAAGATAATGTCTACAAGCAGTTATAGATTGCTTTTTAACATATAATCATAATATGAATAGAGTGTTATCTTCGATACATTAAATAAAATTTGATAAAAATTGAATCAATACAATGGTAACTTAAATAAAATTTAATAATTAGGAAATTAATAATAAAAGAATTAGTTAAGTGTCAATGCTGAAGGTTGCAATTTGTAATAAAAATAATACTTAAACTTTAAGATAGAACTTGGTCTTGACAAAAATGAATTAGTTTTTAATGAGTTAGAGTTAAAATCTTGATAAACAAAAACAGATAAGGTTATAATCTTAGATTTGTTGAGTTGGATTAATAGTAATTATGATAAATTTATGTCAAGTTCTTATTTTTCAGAAATCTACTTATTAGAATTCTAACACAGACTAGTTTTTAACTAGTTTTGAAAAGACACATTTAAGATAGGCAATAAAATAGAAAATAAAGAAGATTTTTAGAAAGGAATGTTGTACATGTACTAACAGGATAAAGAGGAGCAAGGGGCGCATGATCAAGAGCATGATCAAAAGCATGATCAAAAGCATGATCAAAAGCATGATCAAAAGCATGATCACAAGCATGATCAAGAATACATGGTATACCATCAAATCGGAAAGATGCAAACGAACTTGAACGAATCGGAATGATGTACAACCAACACCGGCAAATCAAAGCACACAAAAAGTAGAAAAAAGGTAAAGCACGTAACACAAATTACAGTGTTCTAACCTTGCGTTAAAAACACGTTAATTTTGAAAATACCGAGAAACAACCTTTCATGCATTAGCAAGAAAGTTTTCTTTTTTGATTTTATTATATAGCTCACTGACTCTAACCTTAATATAGCCTTTAACACTAATTTAAACGCTAACCCTAACATAAATGAACTCTGAATATAACAACAAAATTGTCTTATTATATGTCACGTGAACTTTAGCATCAGCCAAATTCAGCATCAGCCATCGTCGCTGATGCTGAAATTTGGGGTCGTGATTTGAAATTATAAGCACTGCTAAAAATCCACATATGGGGTCTTTGCCTTGAAACTGACCTTACGTGATACGTATGTAAATTTTATGAATAAAAATTAACAATTCAAACTCACTAAGCTATACAAAATAAAATAAAAGTTTATATAAAATGGATTACTGGATGGTTAGAAATTTTAATTTTTACAATTTTTATTCAAGGCAAAGACCCCATATATTATAAATTCTAACCCTAAACACTAACCATAAAAAGAAAGTCCCCCAAAATTTTTTAACCATTCTTATCAAAATAGGTCCAAAATTCAGCATCAGTATCGGTATCAGCCGCGACACAATGTTGTTTTACCACAATGTGATTTAGAAATATGTGTTCTCTCGCTGAATTTGAGACTTTTAGTTAAGGACATATCTTACTAGCTGTAAGATCGGATGAACACAAATAATTAAAAATTTTAAAAATAAATTGGTTACGATTTTTTTGTTAGACTTTAAATATGTCATGTATGCTCTTAAAAATTTTATGACAAATCTTTATATAAAATACATAACAAACTTACAATGCCAAATTTTTATTGCAAAAAAAAAACAAAAATACAAAAATTACAAATTTTATATATAAACACAAAAGTTATAAATATTCCACAAATAATCTTCCAATCTAATAATCCAAAAAAAAAGAAATAACTTATTTAAATATCCACTTTACACTATTAATTATCCAATTTATCTACCGGGTCACCATGCACACGGAACCGATACAGACACGTATACGATGGTTTTCCCCAATTAGAGCGTACTCTCATAATAATTGCCCTTACGGGTTTATTTGATTTAAGAATTTGCTCGCTTACTTCGAAAGTTTGCACAGGCAATCCGTTAATATCATAAGTATATTTTCCCAAAAAGTAATGGAGTGGTGATGAACCAAGCTTAAGTTCACCAGAGGTGAAATTTTCAGTTGAAGGGTCAGGATCTAACGCTTTAGGACGCGCCTTGATTGGAACATTTAATTCTCCATCCTCACGAACACCGCATTCTTCTACGGTTGATTCTAATAAATCTTCATCATATTCGTTATTGTCCGGTTGTTTGGTCCTTCCACCGGTACCCTCATCAATGATTCCCCAAACTTCAAAGTCTTTAGGCGCGCTTAATACGTCCACAGCGACATCTTTGCTAACATGATCATAAGTTACTGCAGTAACGCGTACCCGTCGATTCAGTAAAATCGCTAACTGACCTTCTTGACCCGGAAAAGGCCAACATTGACCAACATGTGTATCTGGTGATATAGCTGTGACTGGTGGTTTTCCACGTAAAATACCTTGACCTGAAAATTGAGCAAACATTCGTTGATACCATTTATCTGGCCATAGTTCGTAGGTCTTGCTTGTAAAACGACTGATTACTTTTGCCCCTCCAGAATATAAAGCAAAATCCGGCCTATTTAGTTTATCTTGTGAAAACACTAAAAGTTCCTCCGAAACGACCTTTCGTGCTTCCTTACGTATTATTTCCATCATTTCTTCTCCTCTTAATGGGACACGACCTGTCCTATATGACGCCATTTCTTTTCTAACTTCGGATGAACATAAAGTTTTTACCTCAGTATTAATTAATGATCGGATACGATCATTGCTAGGCGGAATAGTCGGATTTTTGTTTTTACACGAGCTCTCGACTTCAGCGGCAATTAATTTCCTAAGATCATCCATTGTAAATACTGCCCTTCCATTAGCCCCCTTGTTCCCATTAGTTGCAATATCATTTTCATTACTTCCTTCTCCAATTGGTTGTACTGTATATGTCGAATTATCTAAAGGCCAAAACCAAAATTTATCGGCTGAGCGATGCCGAGGGAAATAATCAAAAATGCTCTTATCGTCAACAAGGCTAATGAAAATAATCAATAACAACGCTATCAAGGGAATTAAAAACAGCCAGAATAACTTATTGTTTCGACGAATGTTAGTAATAGCGATAAAAACATAATTAGGCGTTGTAGATGGTACACTGCGATCCACTCCAACTATTGTTTCTATGAAAGGTCCGTTTTTATCTTCAGTTAAGTTTTTCCAAATAAACTTTGGTGTTTCTCTAAAGACCCAGTATAAATAAAAGAATGTTGATCCAACAGCATTGAGCAAGAATGCCAGTGAACCAACTAAAAAGTTTATCACAGGCTTTAACGGATTCCAACGTATACTGACAATAGGCCCATTGCCATTTGTATTACTGATTTCACGAGTATTAATTACATTGCTATCAGTTTCGGGTAAAATCGATTCAGGTAAAGAGGTGTCGCCTTCTTCGTCTGGGTAGTAAGACGGATATGATGACTCGACAGGTGGCGTTAATGGACCTGACCAAAAATCGGATTCTTGCATCGCTCGAAGAAAAGCTTCTTCTCTCGAAAAATCCAAATTACGTTCTCTTAGATACGCCGTATATTTTGGGGAGCTAATGTAAGGAACTCCACCATTATCATTATTATTGATGCCATTTTTTCGTGAATTACTTTTACTTCTTGTGCTGCGAGGGGTAGCGTAAGTGCTGTCTTGTACATTTGTACTCGGAGAGCCTTGCGATTCAGCAAGTCTGCGTCTGGCAGGCATAGGAATATAACGAGATATATTAATTTTTCTAGAACTGAAAGCTAAAGCGGTGTATGTATTTAACTCTTATTGACAATAAAAACCCTTTTAAAAATAATATCCAAAGGGTTTCAATTTACTGGCCCCAACGACCCAGCCCCTCCTTAAAGTGGATTGCTTGAATATTGCTTATGGATTGCGAACTGTGAGCGTGTGCAACGAAGTTTTAGAAGTTCTATTAACCGCTCTAGGAAGGAATGTTAATCAATTGTTAATCAACAAAAACAAATATATACCAATCGACCAGTCGTGGTAATTTAAAAATTACATTGAAATCGATCACAATTGTAGTTACTTTGTTGAAGCTTCGTATTTAACTATATTCTCTTAAGCTTGTAATATCAATGTGTAATCAGGAATGTAATTTATTCTGTACTCACTTTCCAGCAATTGTACTACGATTCACAAAGATTTCTCACATATTTTAAATTGGAAGTGCATAAAACTTCTATTATTCACATGAAGTTCTCATTAATCACATGACAAATATTAATCGTTATATGAAATAATAGCGATAGTGACAGTGAGTATTTATATAATTATTAAATAAATTCACTTTTATTAAAACACACCTATGGTGTCTGTTACCACCTATGTTGTCTGTTACCACTATGTTGTATTATCTCAAAAACTGGCTAATTAATCGGCCTAAGTAAAATTGTTCTATGCTTCCAACCTTTAAATCAGTGTTGGGTCATTTGACTCTAAATGACCAAATGACCCCCAAATGACTTTAGGTCATTTATCATTTGGTCATTTAATATATGGGCTAGGTGCTGAGAAAAGGAACGAAATTGACAAAAAAAAAATCTTCGGAAAATCAATTTTTATGTTATAAATCTTGTAAAAAAATGTAAACTTTAAGAAGCTATATTGCAAACTTTTATTAACACAACTACTTTTGAGTCTTAAGTGAAAAATAATTCTAATCTTATTTTAAATTGATTTATGTAAAAAAACAACTTTTGAAAAAATTGTCAATTTCGTCCTTTTTCTTAGCACCTAGCTTATATTATATGTACTTTATATTGCTAAGACAAAATAAAAAAGTTGTATTATTTGAGTACAATTTTATTAATAAAGTATAATAATCATAGTTAAAATTTTGACTCTAAAATCTAAAGAGTTTTTTTTTTTTTTAATGTTAAGGTGAGTACTTGTGACTTGAAATTTATTAATAGTATGTTTCAGTTTAATGGTTGTATTATAACAGTTACAAGAAATAATTATAAATAAAGTATACAATTAATCATTTGTATAACTTTAATCATTGTCTAATTTAAATAATCTACTAAAGGTTTTATACTAGTTGTTAGATCTAGAACCTATCTGTGAATTTTTTATTTAAACATTCTGATTTTTATATCTATTTATCTATCTATCTTACTAATTGTTTGTTTTTTTTTTAGTATTAAGGTGAGGTCTTGCTTATATCTTTATTAATAATTTAAAATAGTTATATATATATATATATTATGACCAAGGTTAACACTTGCAGTTAGAGTTAACTATTAAACTGCTAACTATATAGCTACTACTATTTGTACAAAACAAATCAATTGAAAATTACATACAAGAATAAAAGCTCAAACTAGTTTATCTGCAACCTAAACCTACTAGAGTGATCAAAGTTCACCTAGATTTGGATGTTTAATATATAATTTGATAATATGTTATATTTGATTTATAAGATAGACTAAATGTTAATTTTGCAAATTGCTTGGCCAATAAAAGAGCATATATTTGAATGAGAATATAATTGATTAGAAAGTTCACAAAGGTATGAGTAAGTGTAATCTCTTTAAGAACGAGTATGTTTTTTAAATGGATTGGATGATCTTAAAGATTAGTTAATTGGTTGAAATTGGGTTTGTTTTGTTGATTTTTTCAATTAGAGAAATGAATATAGTATGTTTTCTATAGTTACTTATATGATTGTTTATTAATATTAAGAAGAATATTAATAATAAGTTGAGAGGTTATTTTGTATAAAATATTAGAGTTGGGGTGTGGGTCCCATAGCTTAGCGGTTAAGCTCCCATACTCTCCACAGTCAAGGTCAACGGTTCAAGTCTGACTGGAGGCAAAATCGAAAGATTTTAGCTTCTGTAACCTAATAAGAAGCCTGTAATTGAATACGAAGCCCTGTGGTTAAGTCCAAGTGCAGT